TGGCCATGGGGAAGGTGGTTGGACACGGGGAAGGTTGCTGGGACACGGGGAAGGTGCTGGGACACGGGGAAGGTGCTGGGACACGTCCTGTTTGCCCGTGGTTGCCCAGCCATCCCACACTGGCAGCGCCCATTGCTGCTGATGCAGAATTGCCCGCCCAGGGCCCTGTTTCCCTGTGCCCTCCCAGCCCGGGGTGGTGCCGCGTTTGCCCCAAAAGCTTCAAGGGGAGCCTGGAGCCGAGAGGTTGGGGATGTACAAGAGCTGGGATGTGCTCTGGGATCTGGGATGGCATCCAGAGATGGGGCTTTTTGGGAGATCCCACTGGAGGCTGTGATTCAGCGTAGAGTGGAGAAAGGGAAGTAGCAAATAGGGGGGACAACTTCCTTTCTTGCCACAATATCCTGCTCCCAACTACCTTTATTGTCCCATGTATTGGGGAAGAAGTGCTTCCCCCCCGCTGCTCCCCATCCAACCAGATGGGGTTTGCTCTGTGTAAATCAAAAAGCTTTTGCAAACCTGGGAGCTGAGGGCAGGGACCTGTTGTGGGTTTTTGCTCTTTACAATAAACCAGGAGCTGGTCCAAGGGGATTTCGCCCTTCGCAAGAGGGGGTTGTAGCCCTGGCCTGGCTGCAGCGCGGGATTTCAGGAGGTTTCTGTTTTGCTGCTGTGTGTGTTTGCGGTCCAGGCTTTGGCCCTGCTCGCAGACAGCCCATCTGTGCTGCCATATGTTTGTCACCGAGACGCGCGACTGCCGCGGAGGGGACGTGGCCGAGAGCATCGCCCCGTGACCCTTGCGCGTCCCTTTGGCACCAGGTCCAGAGCATCAGAGCTTGGTGGCCGTGATGGGGTGAGCGAGAAGCGCTGGGTGCAGCCCCTGAAGCTGCATCAGGTTATGGAGGACCTGAGCTGCCCTCGCTCCTCCTGGCCAACCCCAGCCAGGCCCTGGTTGCGTTTAGGAGCAAGACACAGATGGTGCTGGGGTTGTCCTCGCTGCTCTGTCTTCTTGCAGCATCGCAGCCCCATCTGCTGCTGAGAGGATTCGTCTTCTCTTGCTCGAGACAGGGGGAAAAAAGGGAATAAAATCTGTGTTTCTCCAGGAAGAGGCCCTGGGTGTCTCCGTCTCCAGCCTCGTGCACTGCAGGTGGGGTCTGGTGCATTTTCCATGTGGTGCTGCTGCCTCTTTCCTGCCGTAGGATCCAGGAGTGATCCTGGGCATGGGGAAATGCAGCAGAAGAGGAAGATGGATGGAAAATGTGCATCTGGGTGGCTTTGTGCTGCTGGCTCTCCTCATAGCGCAGGTGGAAACCAGAGCACAAGGGCACATCTGCACATCCCCACATGGGTCTGCATGGACTGCTCCGGGAGCCCCCCAAATCACTCA